GGGTTAGATGCACACTTCCTTCTTCACAGAGATATAGTTGGTGGGTGGAGCCCTGATGGATAAAGAGCACTGCAGGCCAGAAGGAAAATATAGAATATCGACTTGGACTTATATTGTCCATTTAAATATATTATATCAGGAGCTAAAGATGAAATAAAGACAATTTTACAAAGTCTGATTCACAATGTTTCATCCTTAAGTAACCATTTATGTTTCCTAAGCCTTTAGCAATTATAAAAATTAAATTTCAATGTCCCCTGTCTGATGTTGTAAATGTACATCAGACAAAAATAGAAAAATTTAACAAATGTTTATGTTACGAGAAGCTAGTATATAACCATGTTCCCAAAAAAATATAAGAAAATATAGAGAAATTATATCTCACCAGTAACAGCGATGCAGTTTACTCCACTGCTTCTGACATTTCCAAACACAGTGAAGAGAGTGAAAGTGTATCTGGTTCCACTGGTCAAATCTGACACTCTGTATTCTTTTTCAGAATTACTAATGTTGATCTCTCTTTCATTAAACGCAAGAATATAATTGTCGATGTTGGGGACTGTTTTCCACCCCAGAGTTATGCTGGTCTCATTTTGTCCATTTTTCTTAAATTTGTCAGCATTACGAGGAGCTAGAATAGAAAAACGTACAAACAAGAAACTGTAACAACATTTTCTGTCAGAAACAGAAACATGGAGCGAGGCTTCAGTTTCAGTATTTTTATCAGTCCTTTTGAAAAATATTAGGCGAGCTACACTCTTCTATTTCTGAGAAACCTTAAACATCATTATAGAGCTCTGCCCTTGTTCATGTTGTAGAGGAGCATCAACTTTGGAACATTTTAAAGGTCTATGACTGTTTTAGATGTTTTTAATCTGTTAACCTCCACCAGGTTAGCAGGAAGCAGTCTAGGATTATAGGTAGGGTTAGTATTTGACATATTCAAATTGGAAAATTTAACAAATGTTTATGTTATTATTCTGTAGGATGTATTCTGGGATGTTTTTAACCTTGTCCCACTCCAGTGGTATACTCATCTCATTTTGATGCACCACAGTCACATTATTAACACTTTGTGGAGCTAAAGATAACAGAGGAAAGCGGCTTTGATAAACAAACAAAAAAAACAACAACTCTCCATCAGCTAAAGTTTCAAGTACTAATGAGCCGGTCCATCCTGGTTTATCTATCTATGTTAGAGAAATTACATCTTACCAGTGACTGCGATGCAGTTTACTCCACTGCTTCTGACATTTCCAAACACAGTGAAAAGAGTGAAAGTGTATCTGGTTCCATCAGTCAAATCTGAGACTGTGTATTCTTTTATAGAATTCTTAATGTTGATCTCTCCTTCATTAAACAAAAGAATAAAGCTGTCACTGTTGGGGACTGTTTTCCATTGCAGCTTTATACTGGTCTCATTTTGACCAATGGACTTGAATTCTTCAGCATTACGAGGAGCTAGAATAGAAAAACACACACAAAAGAAACTAAAACAATGTTCCCAACAACATCTTGTATTTTGTTTATGTTTTAATTAGACTGAACATTTTGTTCAGTGCTCACTAACCTGTCACAGCACTGAATGTGTGTCCACTGCTGTTGAGTCCATCAGACGTGGTGAAGAGAGTGAATGTGTAGTTTGTCCCAGCAGTCAGAGAAGTGACCACATGTACTATGGGTCCTTCTTCAGCTTTATTAATATCTTCTGGTATATTATCATATTGCAGGATGTATGTTGGGATGTTGTTAACCTTGTTCCACGTCAGAGTTATACTATTCTCATTTTGTGTGGTCACATCCACTCTGTCAACATTATCTGGAGTGGAACTTTCTTTTTTTTGAGCCAGTGAAGTGGATTTTCGTGTTGTAGTTGTCAGCAGATTGGTTGTTAGTCTTGTGGTTGTTTCTGTTTTTGCTGTTGTAGTGGAGTCAGTTGTACCCTACAAACACAAAAAGAGTGAAAACTGAAGAATCTAAAATTTATAAAAACAAATTGCCATTGAATACCCAGTTAACCTGAGGCTTGGCAATCTCACAGAGCGAGCGTTTGTTGCTTTTAATTTTACATTATATCATGAACAACAGCAACATCTAAAACATAAAAATCACAGAGCAGGCAAAAAATCTATTAATCAAGTGTTTGCTTTCACTGAAAACACAAATCGTATTTATTATTATATTGTATATTACAGCTGCAGTTATTTAATCAGAGTTCTATAAAATATCTGATTAAATCATTAAGACTGTATCGTGTAAGTGTTTAAGATATTGTTGAATTTAGTTTTAACATTATTTCTTCCTTCATGCTCTTTTTGTTCTCAGAGGAAATTATGATAGATTGGTGTCGCAAAGAAGGAATATATTCATGTTTAACAAGATTTTGTTGTTCCTGTACTTCTGTACAAACCAGTATTTCACAAAACATAACTATAGTGTTTCAAATACATAATGAAGCATGTCATGCATTTAGGTTTCACTGTGGTTTTGACTGCACTGTTTCCTTTTGTCGAGGGTAACCTACACTGAGCTTCACTATCTGATCACCATCAAAGTGAAAGGTAAAAAAAAAACTTACCCAGAGTAGACTCAGGGAGACACAGAGCAACAAGTGGTCTGAGATAAGAGATAAAAGCTTCATCGTCTTCAGGACTTGTAACTGGCACACATTCTGCACATTCACCTCTTCTGGTATTTTGACAAAAAAACAAATGATTTCTTAGCACCTGGGTGGTTACTGTCCAACACTGACTGTAATTCTTAACTATGCTCCTCTTGTAACCATATTAGCAAGTGGTGAAGTAAGTAGCTGCTTCTCCTTTAGGACCTTGCATAAATAGAGACCTTTGCCCCGCCCATTTCTTCATTATTAACTGTCTGCTGCTTGTCAAGGGTACATTAATCAAGTTGTCTGTTTTATGTGTTTATTAAAGGTAATCACTTTACATTTTCTGTAACTGGTAGTTCATGCTGCTTGTGTATTTTTATTATATATAAATAAAAATGGGTTTTTATGTTTAATCACAGGCAAAGCTATCAACTGTAAGCTAAAAAATAGGTTTTTATTAAGGATTTAAAGTTTTTTTTAAAGTTTGAAACAGAAATGTTAAGACATTATAAAAACTTGTGTACGGCTGCCATGGATCTCTGATTGATCCGAGAGCCTAAGCGGCCCTTGCTTTTCTCACAACCTGAATATTTTCAGGTTCATTCTTTACTTTATCATAGTCAAATGTTTTATGGAAGACGAGTGTGTTACTGAGAAACTCACATTTCAGAATCAAAATCAAAAACAACATTTTGAGTGTGTTCATCCTTAGACAAAATGTCACAGTACTGGGTCTGGGGACCCAGTTTGTGTTTTTTGTTATTTTAAATATTCTTTGATTTAGTGTTTTTCATGTCATAGTCTTGTTTCTCAGTTATTCTTTGTAGTTTCTAGAATTTAGGTTGTGTTTCTGTGCCTCCCCTGTCTTCTTTCTTTCATACCTAGTCGTCCTCGGTCCCAGTGTCAAGTCCGCATTTCAGTCTGTGTCTCATGTTTTCTGTTTTATTTTGATAGTTCCTTGTCTGGTGTGTAACATGTTCATGTTCAGTTCTGAACATGAACATGTTACACACCAGCAGTGTATGTTTGTTGTCATGAGTTTGTTTTGGAGTTTGTTTCTACAGCAGTGAAGCTGCCTCCTTTGTTGAGCCCTGCGTTTGGGTCCCCATCCTGCCTGCTACAGCACTGGACATGACAGAAACAGACATTATGCATTATTTTGATGCCATTGCCATTATATTATATATTTGGATCACATTTGTTATGCAGAGAGGTGTGGAATGGAAAACAGCAGACATCACTCTGACTTGATGGAACAGAGTTTATTGGCCAGTCTTTTACACACACACACAGGAACTTCCAAAATAGCAACCTATCCATTTCTTCTTCTTCTTCTTTTAAGTTTTAATGGCAGTTGGCAAACAACAAAATGGTGTATTACCACCACCAACTGGAGTGTGGACTAAAAGAGGTGTGGACTGGAACATTACTCCCCCCCCCCCC